GGAAAGAGGGGACAGACGTACAGACCTGCTGACTCACAGGAACAGAGGGGACAGACGTGCAGACCTGCTGACTCACAGGAACAGAGGGGACAGACTCGCAGGCATGCTGACTCACAGGAACAGAGGGGACAGACGTGCAGACCTGCTGACTCACAGGAACAGAGAGGACAGACGTACAGACCTGCTGACTCACAGGAACAGAGGGGACAGACTCGCAGGCATGCTGACTCACAGGAACAGAGGGGACAGACTCGCAGGCATGCTGACTCACACTGGCAGAAGGGACAGACTGCTTGATAGACACGCACAGTTACGAGTTGTGAAAACCGTCTCACCCATTTTCTCTCTCAGTCAGACTCTCTGATGGGATTCCTGGGCTTTGGTGGAGGAATGGACTTTGATTCAGAGAAAGCATACAGGTGAGATAGAGGCACACTATGCATGCACATATCCTGACATCCATAATGCTACACACAGCCGGGCAATGTTGTTCTCAGTGATATAGCCAGGCACAGCTGTCCTACGTGCTACATACAGCCAGGCATGTTTGTCCCCAGATCTACACCTAGGCAGTGCCTGGTAGAGGGCAGCACTGAGCAACTTGTGTCCCTGCACAAGTACAGGACGGTGTGCCAGTACAGTACATATTATCAGTATAGTACACTACAGTACTGAGTCTGTCCGTACCTCACAGACCACCCCAGACAATGCTCTAAGACACATACCTGCACATCATAGATGCAAGTTCAGTTAGTGAAAAGTCGATCCTGATTGTGAGCAAAAATCGCAATGATTAACATACAGTGCTAATTTTATTACATTTGCTTTGCAAGGCTCTGTGTGCTTTGCACTTTCACCCAGGCTGCTAAACAGCCACACTCACAGCTACAGTGTGATTCTCACAAACCGCCATGTCGTCGCTCTGTGTGACTCGCAGGGATGTGGCGTATCTGGGGACCTGCGATGATGGCTGTCTTGCTCTCGCGGACCTGCTGGGCTGGAAGGTACAGACTGACACTGACAGGCTGAGAGACTGACTGACAGACTGATGGAGACTTTCCCCTGCATTTCATAATCAAATTCAAAGAGCTTTGTTAGCATGACTGATGGATTACAGTCTCGGAGCTAAGTATCTTACTCTTTCTCCCTGTCTCCCCTCTCTCTTTCGCTCTGTCCGTCTCTTGCTCTCTCTCAGACCGAGTTGGAGGAGCTGGTGAAGCAGGAGCACACTTTAATTGACAGCAAGGACAAGCGGGAGAAGGCCAGCGCAGCCAATCAGAACTCTGGGGCGGGGCAAAAGGCAGGCCTGGGGGTGGAGCCCAGGGAGAGTGACAAACCTGAGCAGCCAATGGGAGAAGGCAGCTCAAAGCAGGACTGATCGTTGCCCAGTCAGTGAGGGTTTCCTGTTAGAAAACTCAACAACCTGGGCATCCGTCCCTCAAGTCTCTCTCTCTCACCTTTATCCAGTACTATTTACTGTCCTCACTCGTTTTCTACTCTGTCTGGTCTCGGTTCATATATCTCTTGTTTCCTCTGTTTCTAACTCCCCTCCTCTTCCTCTGCCCGCCTCTCTGCAGACGGGCATAATCAGGCGTGGAGACCGACAGGTAGAGACAGGCAGGCCCTCTTGTCAGAACTCGTTTTTTGAGTGCTTGTCCAGGCAACCTGGCTGCAAAAACATATGTAAAAAAATCCTATATGTAGTGCAACTTGTAATTAATCTTTTTATTATTATTCCTGCTTTTATTATTTATACTTGTGCACAAGGCGCATTGTGCTTTGTAGCTATACAATGCAGTTCTATCATATCGCCTGTAGAGGGGGGACACAGTCTATTAAAATCTGGTTTGTGTTTAAGTTGGACTAGTATTGAAACAAATACTAATAAACTGATAAATGAGGAATCACCACTATCTCTTTCTTCTCTTGTGACTAGTCCTGTAAATCAGAACTTTATGTCAATCATTGTTGTTCACAATCAGGATGCACTTTTCACAATCTGAACTTGCATCTGTGATGTGTAAGCCTGGTGTAATGTATGTGTCTTTTTGCTTTGTCTGGGGTGGTCTCTGAGGTACAGACCTTACAGTACTGTAGTGTACTATATGAGTACTGTGTTCAGGGCTCTGTGCCATTTTGGTGTAAACTCAAACAACCAACAGACCATCCTTGTGCATTGTACTGGGGCACTGTAGAGTCACTGTGCTATGTGGTTGCATTTTACTGGATTCATAGCTGTACTTGTGCACAATATTGAAACAAACTGGACTGGACCAGTCTAAGAATCTCTGGACTGTAGGTTTACAATATGACACAGACTGGACCAGTGATCTCCGGACTGTAGGGTTACAATATGACACAGACTGGACCA